TTTTTAAACCTTTCAAATCTCTACACAGAAATCACTTCTCTTCCCCTTGTTTTCTTTCTACTCAATTTTGTTGTTTTGTAATAGGGAAGTCAGCCTCAGTGTGAGACTTAGTTCTGAAGGTCAAAGAAACTTTCCTTTGCAAATCAGAAAGTGACCCAGAGGCTTCCAGTGCTTCAGCACAAGGCACTTGCTTCTGAGACTCTTGGAATAGCTCACAGCTTCTCCACAGCCATGAGTGGGGAAAGGAAATACAATTGTATAGACAGCTGATCAGAGAACACCAAGAACCAGTGGTGGCACCTAAAATATGGCACATCCCACTGAGAGATGTGTGATCCCTGTTTGAAAGGGTTCCAGGAGGAGCAGCTGGAGCTAGATCAAGAGGGAAGACGGTGAGACATCCTCAGGCCCTGAGTGTGGATGCACCAATACTAGCTGTGAGGGAAAAGAGAGGTCCAGACCTGGTGGCTGGGAAGCTTTCCTTACTTAAAACATCAACTTTTAGTGTCAAAAGGAGATAGTGCCTCTCACCAATGCTTATAAAGCATCTCTGGGTGGGTAAGAAGTCCTGTGGCTGGATTTCACCTTGGCATGGAAAACGCAAACCTAGATGGCCTTAAACTCCTTAACTTAAAGATGGAAGTCACTGTTGAACAAATCCATCCATGATAGACTGTTCCAGAGATGGTGACTCCCGTGCAAAGTGTTCATGGGGTGACCTTTGCACTTAGCTTTTAAGTACAAATAAAAGCTTGGGGTTCTTCCTGGAGGACAAAGCCTCTCACACAAGGATGGGGGATTGGTGTCTGGTGTGAGTGGATCATCAGGGGCTCTCCTCTAGGGTGCAGGGCCAGAGCCACCCTGTGCCCTCACAGCTCCCACTGTGACTGGCAGATGTGAGAGTATGTGGTTCATAGGTTGGTGGAATTAGAGTATTTTCTAATATTCTTTTACAAAATAATGAGGTCTTTACCAAAAATTGATGTACTTTCATTAGAAAATAATGGCATCTTTGACATTTCACATCACTTCATTTCTACTCTGAAAATTCTGGAATCACAAGACTTTCATGTGACTTCTGTGGAGAAAAGAAGCAATATTATTTTGTTTCTTTCTGTGATTTATTTTCAGCCCATGAAATGGTCTCCTAATATCTGTCCTTTTAACACTCAGGCACAGCTCTTTTTTCCACATTGCAGAAGTTACCTGATGAATTTAAGCCACCTAATATCACTGTGTAGGGAAGACTGTGCTGTGGATGTGCAGAACTGGGAGACCCACAGCACATAGGATGGAGAGACAGCCGGACACATTCAAGCTGCACATACATGATTCCTTTCATGCTTTTTTGTTGTTTGCTCTTTTTATGTTGATTTTGTCCTCCTAATTTCCCACTCTAGTAAAACAACTCTCCTAAATATTGTGAATGCTTAGAATAATAGAACTCTTACTTCTTTTTTGGAAAAAACTATGGACTGTTTCTTAAAAGGGGGAAGGACTCCTTCAATTTTCAATGTTTATGTTTTTTTACTTCTTTATCACCCTCATGGGTTACAGAAATAACTATGGGTCTGAAAAGTTCAGGAGACATCTATACTAACGTCATCATCCCCCAAAGCATCCTTGTCTTGGGAAGACCATAGTTCAGAGGTGTCAAGTTCAACATTTCTAAATTGGGAAATAAGCCATGAATCTTTCCATGTGACACATGGCATTGGAAGACAAACGTCATTCACCTTTGCCTACATATGACTTAGCCATCAAGTTAAAGCCCTTAACAATTCCCCCCCTTATTGCATCAGTTACCTTTTTGGGAGTAATAGGAAAGGCACATGTACATTGACTTCAAAAGTAATATTATACATGGAACTGAAAATAAAACATTCACTCTAAGGTAGTCCTTATTAAAGAGGGCACCTGAAAGAGAGGACAGAAGTGACATATGAAGTGACATCTAAAAGCTCATTTGCCTCACTTACCACTGTGCTCCTATAATCAACCCTGATTTCTCCACAGAGAAATCTCACCTAAGGGTGCCTTTGTTGCACACAGGACACATCCTTCTACAATGACTCCAAGGAGTGAGCAATGAACAAATAACCAGGAAACCTGTGTTTTAGATCCACATTTTACTTACTCCTGGTTCTACTGATGTCCGTCAACATCTAATTATCAATAGCCAAAATAATTCCCCTTTGTTGAATTTTCAGGAATTTTTAAATAGTAGTACTCATGCTGAATATTGCATGACAAAGGTTTTTGCTGCTGCTAATCATTTAAGATTCACAAAAACCTTGAAGTATGATTATATTCATTTCTAAGATGTAAAAACACTGTAGATCAGAAAGATCAATGACATCCTTTAAGTTACTGAGCTAGAATTCTGTTAAACTTACACATCAATATTGTGAAGGTCTAATGAAATAATAAACATTAAAAGCCTTTAAAGCTGCAGTGTATGTTTCAATTGTGAATTGTCATTGTTCTTGTAATATTTTTTTTTCTAAATCCTTCTTCTTAGCATCTGACAATATCTGTATCATCAAAACCCAAAACAATGATAAAGGGTCACATTCAAAGGGTGTTTGGGAATGTAGTAAGCTACTTAACATTAACTATCCCATTATTGGATAATAGTTAATACTTAACATTAACTATTCTCTTTATGTTTCACTGACAACCAAACCTTAAAGATGGAGCACTCACTTGCTAGGATGATACTTGTTAATTTCTCTTCCCCTGTTACAGGGTTGGAAACAGCACATAATGCTCTCTGACCGGTTTCTGAGGAAAAGAGTCATCTTCATGTGGAACAATCTGGCTCCATCCTGGGAGTATGATTTTGATGAATATGGAACGACCTCTCCCCTGCTGTTTCTCCACTCCATTTGGGGCTGTGGAAACCACCCTCCTGAGTTACACTCCACCACGAGTCCATCACTAACAGGAACCTGGACATGAATCTGTGTCTCCAAGCCAAGTGCTGATGGAAATGAGAAAGAGCCATCAAGATAGTGATTGTATTGAGGTTGGATTGGCAAGTGGAAAGGAAAAAATATCAATCATGTGATCTGCAATTTAAAATTCATGAATGAAATCCATATTTAATTTATAAATTAGACCAATTGGTCACTCTGTAATGTCTATTTACTGAAGAGTTTATTTTTGCAGTAGATATGAGTACTTATAATAACTATTTTTTTTTAGAATATGAAAAAAATAAGAAGCATTGAGATAATTTTCCTCATATTTCAACTTATTATGTCAAAACAGCTTTGTTAAACAATGTTCCACAAGCACACTTACCTGCCACATGTAAGTTCATGCCGGCTGCATCACTGAAGTCAGTGCCTTTAAATGAACACCTGTATGGTCCATTATCAGAAATGCTGACATTATGAATTTTGAGGGTCACTTTACCCTCCCCCATGGCCTCTTTCACAAACTCTGTGCGATTTATATATTCAGGGGCAGCTTCTCCATTTACTTCATGACCACTTCTGTATAGGTAAACAAGCTGGGAATTGTCACCCTTGAACCAGCACACCTCCATGTGCTCTGCACTTTGTGGTGGGGACAACTGGCAGCTGAGAGCAGCCTGTCCTCCTACTCTAGCCACAAAGTGCCCCTTGGGAACAGTCACCATCAGTTTCTCTGTGCAGAAGAAAGAAAACCAAAATAAGTCATAAACCAGTAATAACCCTGTTGCTAGATACTACAAGATTCTTCCCAGCAGACCTAAGCTCATCTAAATGTCCATCTCTGATCATTCTCTTCAACTTAAACCAATATTTTATTGTTTGGAAAACACAATGCTACTTCATTAGACTTTCAAAAGTATATTCTTTTGGAAGATCCTGGGACATGGTGGAATAGGAAGCAACAGCAAACTGACTCCCCATCCCAATAATTATATGGGCAGCATCTATCTTGTGTAACTATTTGGAAACTCTGACGCCTATTTACGTCTCACAACTTCCAGTAAAAGACTTGGGTGGTAAATTGTGGTTGATTTCAGTTAAATTCAACTTTTAGTCCAGCTATCTGCTCCTATCCTCAGTCCCTTGGTAGTCAGTTGTTAATGTGTTTATAAAGCAGTCTGAACATAGCTTGTGGGAGTAAGGTGGGCAAAAAAAAAAAAAAAAAAAACTTTATCTTCCAAGCATTGGGGTGACTGTGCTCTAATCTAATTACTGCTTCTGATCACAGAAGTGCAGACAATGAAGTAGTAGTAGGTCATCATGACTTCCCCTCTGGTTGCAAGCCCCCTCCTTTTCCAACCAAGGTGACATCCGGGGTATTTAAAAGCCTCTTTTCTCTTCATTTTTCTCTTTTTTTTGGGGGGTGGGGGGTGGGGGGGACAGGGGGCGTTGGTACCAGACAGTCAAGACTGGGACATTCAAAAGCAATTGGGAAGAATTATAAAGTGTAGGCACATGCCTAAAGAAAGGCACAGACTCATAAAAGACCCAAGGAAAACTTAAGCCTATACTTTAGGGTGAACCTTATTACAAAAATAATTTATAAGAAGCAAAAAGCCCAAAGCATTAAACAAATATGATTCAAAAACATGCAATTCCTTGAGGAAAGATAAAAGTGTTGAAGAAAAGTTAACAAAGCTCAAGGGACATGTGGGACATCATTTATCAGACCAACACATGATGCATTGTAGGATTTCCAGAAAGAGAACAGAGAGTGAAAAGGGA